TAAGGTCCCTTCCAACCCAAACCACTTTATGTCTTCCCATATTGCCCTTCCTACACAGCTTTCTTTCCGGGAAATGTACCTGTCACTTCCCAGGTTGCCCCAGCCCTAAGCTGGGGTGGTGTAAAGCCGAATGTGTCTAATGACAACCAGGAGGTCACCTTTTCCCCTCTCTGTTGGCACGGACTAGAGCGCGCTGAGTTGCCTCACGTTGAACCCCAGTCCTATGGCTCTGAGGGTGCTGTCGAGTCTTCTCTGGCTCTCACCTCTAAGTCACTGCGCTTGGTCATGCGACACTGACAGGGATCTAACACTGAGCACAGAATCTAACCGGCTTCCCTCTTAGCAGCCTCAAAATCAAGTAGCACACACAAGGAAATTGGATTCTGTGTGGGAGCAGGACTGCTGCTGATCTGCAGGGCAGGAAAACTTGCAGGGTTTGCAGATCTGCTGATGCTTCCACCTTTTGACTACTGTCTGTTGAGCCTTACGAGGAGTAGGTTGTGGCTTGTGAGGTGAACTTCATCCAAAGCTAGCATGCTATGGTGAGCTGACCTGGCGGTGCTCTTTTAAGGAAGCAACTGAGCTGCCTGGGGAGCGTTGCGGGAACATTTTCCTCTTTGCTGCCTCTCTGCTGCGGATGGAAGACACTTCACTGCTACGTTGCTGGATGGCATGTTGGATACCTGCACCCTGTATCACGAAATAACAGTTTCTAATCTCTTTCTTCCAGATTCTGCCTGATTAACGCTGGTGTTCTGTACCTCTACTTCAGTAGCTTCCAGCAGATAGATGAGGAGGAGTATGGCGGGACGTGGGAGCTAACAAAGGAAGGATTCATGACATCTTTTGCACTGTTTCTGGTAATGCCTCTTGCTTTCTTAGGGTTGACTAGTGAATTGCATTGGTATTTTCTGAGGGAAAAGACCTGGAAGAAAAGCATGTGAGGTGGTGCGCTGATAGGAGAGAGATGTGTTAAAGTCATCTAATAAGTGGAGTTGATTGGAAAAGAAAATCCCAAAATCTGATGGCCACTGGCTGTGAAATACAGTATTAAGGCCTGGGATTTCTCTGTAGGAAAGAATGTAGGAACAGGCAGCTGTAATTCTGCGTCTCCCACTTAACTTTCATGTCTTCCCATGCTCTGTCCCAGATACCCTGGTGGAGTTTCATCTAGAGCTAGTTACATCCAAACTGGGGGTTTGGGTGTCTTTGTTTTAACCTTCCTCCCCTCCCCCAAGTCTCTGAATACGCTCAGCACTTGGTGCGATGGTGTTTCTACATCACTAGAGGGACTGTGGTGGGATTGTAACGTGGAGAGGCTAGTCGCCCCAGAAGGCAAGCTGAATGCCACCATTTGGGGGACGCGGTAATCCTAACATCTCTCCAAGACCATCTCAAAGCTGGAATTCAGTCCTCCGTCCTCTATTGAGAGGAAGGCATGAGGCTTGTGTTCTGTGTCTGAACCCTCTCCAGAGGCATCAAAATAACCTGCGCTTCCTTTCCTCTCCACAGGTGGTTTGGATAATCTTCTATACTGCCATCCACTATGATTGACACAGTCTGCAGCTTTTGCCTGTTAAATCAGTCGTCAGTAGATCAAGAAGGTTTTAATAAATCATAGTCTCTAGTGGACTGGTGGGAAGGTGGGGGAAGTCAAATCAACTCCCTTCCGTACCAGCGGTCTGATTAGCCTGGAAGAGCCACAACTCTTCTGCTGGAGAAGTCCATCTCCATTTTATATACCCGTTAATTGTTGGAACTATTAAAAAGCCATTGGAATTTTTGGAAGTGGTTCAAGACTGTTCAAATTTGGAACTTTCTGTGGCTCTAGCCAGTAACTCTATCAAACTCCTGTGTGCTCAAGGTTGAATCTGTTAATTTAATGTATGTATGCCCTTCTGTTTGAAATCTGTCATTAAATCCTGACTTGTCTTCCACTGTTGTCCTTTAGACAAACAGTTTTTAAAAAGCAGGGGTAGGGTACCTGGGAGGAAGGCCCTGCAGCATCCAGGATATGAGCTGAGTGGCTGTCCTTAGCATGGTTTTGTAGTAATCCGATCTGACTGGATGAAACAGACTGTGTTGTTACCATTTCTGATATTTTTTGGTTTACTTGCAAATCGGTCGTCAAGCAGAATGTTTAAGTGGTCTTTGCCGAAGATAAATTTTTAAGCAATTTTGCTAGAAAGAATTGTGATTAATTTGGTTAATAAAGGGGCATTCAGGAGGCTTAGAAACTCCTCTGCGTTCTGCTAGCCTGACTGCTAGGTTGCCATCGCATACCTCAGAGCTCAGGAGTCTTGAAGGACAGTCATTCTGGCGATACCCTTTTACATGTTAAGCATTTAAATTCTTTTTTTCTTAAGCTCTTGAATACAACTGCTCTTTGTTAATAAATGCAGGAGACAAAGATACAATCGAGGCAGCTATTATCTTAAATGCAGAATTACTAACTTGCAAACCAGGCAGAGTACATAGCCTCTGGTTTGTGAGGTGCTTTTTATGAGTTGATCGCTTCTTAGCTCAGTTCCTCCCTAGTCGTGCCCTTTTTGTGCATTAGTGGGGGAGTCTCTGCTTTAAGATATTTTTAAGGACGTGTCTTTCAGAAATAGTTCTTGGGAAACACGCACAGTCCTTGTTATTGTCAGAGGACCTTGTAGTTTTGTTGCCGTGTGGTCCTTGCTTTTCTAAACAACAGTTCAGGCACCCAAAAAGAATCCTGACCTAAAGCTGCCTTATAGAGAGGAGCTGATAGTTTTAGTGTGCTCTTGCTGGAAGTCTGCGTTGCTTCCTCTCTGATGGAAGTCCAACAGCCTGGTTCTCGCATGTGAGTATGCAAAGCCAGGCATCTGAATCTCCAAGCCCTGAGCTAGGGCTCCAGAGTCACCCACCGGTGCAGGCCTCGATGCCTACCAGGGGACATGCTGTCTTTTCTGGGTGGGAAAAACACACCTGGCTGGTTGAGGTCCTTGGGACGCCAAGGGAAGAGTGCAATAGCAGACGGCTATTGCCAATTTAAGTAAGTGATCTCAAATAAAAACTTCTATGTTTTCTCCTCCCCATCCCCAAACTTGCTCAGTCCTTTAGTCTGATACTTTCTTTTCCTCTAATTTCAGCTGAAAGAATTCATTTCCCACAAGAATTGCATAGCCTGCTAGTTCTAGGTCACCCTTTCCTACTGGCATCTGATTGCATCTTAGCTGCCCACAGCCGTCAGTAAAATCATTGTATACTTGAATGCTCTAATAAATGTTGCCTGTATAATCCACTGTGCAGCTTCTGTATCCTCTGGTCTTTGGAGTTGTGTAAAATGGTGGGAGTGTGGGATCCCTTTAAGAGTTTGATTTTTGATAAATATCTAAACCAGCAGCTCCTTGGGATTCTCAGGTCTCGTGCTGCAGATTTAAGCGCTGCACTTTTAGAAGGGGCCAGAAGCATTTGTAGTGGAAGTAGTAGCTAATGCTGAGATCCATGCTTTAATGGATGATTTAGCAGGTTAACCCAAGTGTTGCCTCCATGTAAGCTGTTCTGTCCCTTCAGCAGCTGTCCCTGCCCTGTGACACAATCGTGGCAGAGCCACTGCAGTGTTGCAGAGTGCCAAAGTCTGGGCTAGAGCATTGCTAACCTGCCCCTTTGTTTTATTCCTTGCTTGCCTCTAGTCCCAGCAGCTAAGTTTCTCAGTCTTTGCAGTTTTCTACAGTTCTAGTAGCTGGAAGCTGAGGCAGAACCTGAGTTGAGGTGGATCCTCTGTTGAGGATCATGACCATGCTGAAGAGACCTTAGTCTCTGGATCTCAGGGCTCCTGGTAGTGATTGCAGTGGCTGAGCTGCAAGCTTTTAATCTCTTCAGGTGTCTGTTTTAAGGGGTGCCTCAATGGCTGATCACTAAGAGAACTAAAGCTATGCATCTGCCCCCGAAGAAATGAGGTTCATGGTAAGAAGCTCAAGGGGATATGGCGACCTGTAGAATGGAGCTGAGCATCTTACAGTGATGAGCCCTGTAAAATCAAGGGGTTTTTGCAGAGAGTTGAGAGATTGACACAGGGGTGGTCTAGCAGAGAGCATGAAGTTGAGTGCTAGGAAGATGAGAGCAGCAGCTGGCAGGAATAGGGACTGAAGTGGAGAGAACAGGGGCTTGGGCAGCACCTCTGTCCTCAGCAGCTTTGGTAGCAGCACAATGAGCACGCTTGCTCTGCACTCTCCCTGAAGGGCAGGGGACTAAACCAGTGGCTGGTGGTGGGTGTGTTCTGCCACGGAGCAGCGACTCCGGGAGAAAAAGGTCTTTCCTGTGCTGGAGAGCTGAGTCACAGCTGCTGGGAGATGGTTCCATGAGGAGGCTGCATCCTTATGGGGGTCTACATGATGGTGCAGAGAAGAGGCTGTGCTGCCTGCAGGCTCTGTGAAGCTCACTGCTAGCTGCGTGCCTGGAGGAACTTCGACTTTCAGCAAAAAGCAGCCAGTCCCTGGCAGGAAGGACAGTGAGATATTCCCTTGCCTAACCTCCTTGTGCGGAGAGGAGCAAGCTTGCTCTGGTGTGGAACTGGCAGAGAAATTTCTTGTGGTCTTTCTTGGGCTTTGAGCATAATATCTGTTAAAACTTTAATATGAGTTATTTTTGGTGTTAAAGGGAAAAATGGCGTGGGTGCAAAGATGTGCTCACGGGTGTTGAGAGGTGGCTGGGCGTCTTGTCTTGTCAACATTTTTTACACCAGCCGCTGCCCGTCGCAGGGCAGCTCTGCAGTGGCGATGGCTGAGCGTGCAGCATGATGTACATTTGTTACCTGTGGTTTTGGTCCAGCAAGGGAACGTTGCTGATGTCGCTTGTCTTTCACAGTGCTTGGGTTGTCCTTGAGGCGAGTGGTGCCTGTTGGGACTGGGAGCACACCCCTGAGGAGCCTCTGTCCCCTACGTGGAGGTGTTACTATCTTTGCGTTCCCCCAGCTTGACTTCTCAGCTTGCAAAAGCTGTGCTCACAGCTGCTGGGATTCAGCTGCCCACAGGTGACAGAGCTGGTTGGTTTGGGTTTGTCAGAGGCACCAGAGTAGTAGAGGCTGGGTTGGTCTGGGGCGAGCAGGGTCTCAGAAACCCAAGCAGAGCTTTGTCTTCAAGCACTCTTAAGTCACACATGTATCTGACAACTGGGGATGGCGTTTGCTGAGACTTTCTGGGGCAGCAGTGTCCCTGCCCACACTTCTTAGGGTGTTTCATTTCAAGGATGTCTGTTAATACTCTGCCAGGCAAATGGGAGGAGGAGGGTGCAGTATGCACAAAGGTCCTGGCCTTGGAGGAGCTGCTTTGGTGGGGAAGGGACCACCTCCAGCCGCTGGCGATGGGAAGGTTGGAGAGATGTCTGAAAATGGAGCAGGCCGAGACTGGCTGGTAAAAGCTGAACTATCCTCCCACGAGTGTTTAGTTAGTAACTGGCAGCGTCCCTTATGCCCTCAGGCTGCTGAAGGGCACTAGTGAAACCTTGCCACTGCCAGAGCTAAGGATGGTTTACATCTCCCTGCGTAAGGAGCGTTGAGTGAGCTAGTGGAGCTGTTCACGCAGGGAAGAGCAGCGGGCATTAGCTGACTCATTGGAGGATGAGAAAGTAGGACATGTACCTCTCAGGTGACTTTCCCAGAGCCAAACAGCTCAGCACTCAATGTAGTCTGTCTCCCAAAACAACAGATGTCCAGGATAGATGAGGGCAGAGGATGGATTTTTCAGATCTTGCAACCAAACAGCCAAGCACGTGTGCCAAGCTGCAAGGGAGAGGCCAGTGTCGTCGCGGGGGAAGGGGGGGAAGTAATTTGCACAAATCTGAAGCATTTTGTTCAGCCCAAAATGAAACAGCCCCTCTCATTTTCCAGTTATTTTACTGGTGGTTTTTTAGGTCAACCTCTGAAAGAAGTGTAGGGGGAGAAAAACAAAATGTTTCAGCCAGTTTGATTTCAGAAATGTCCGTGCAAACCAGGCCTCCCCTGCTGCATGTATTTCAATCAAAACTCTGCTGAATGGGAGCTGTTGGTCACCATAGCTCAGGTTTGCCCCAGGCACGGCTGGTTCTGTGGCCCCAGTTAAGGCTCTGCCTGCACCCACCTGGCTCTGTGCTGCCTGGCAGCCTCAGCCTGCCCCGACCCACGTGCCGGTGCTGCTGGAGCCAGCAGCTGTGGGAGCTGCTGGTGCCAGGGCTGAGCCTGGCCAGCTTCACCTGCAAACACCAACCGAAACCTGTTGTGCTGCAGGGAGGACCGTGATCTTCAGCTCTCCTCTCCAGATGGCCACACGCGAGAAGCCCACGTTGGAAGGCCAAGCTGGCTGTGAGAGAGAACACACCAGGCTGTTCTGCGGCAATGTCACAGTGTCTCTTGCTGATGGTGTCCCACTGGGCGCTGGACCCCCCGTGCCGCTGTGGATGTGGGTGAAACGGCAGCGTGGGAGCCTCCCTGCTAGAGGGTGGCTTGAGTGAGTGATGACACGAAGTACGTGCAAGTCCCTTGGAGAGCTCTTCTGGAGACAAAACCTAAGAAATCTCTGATCCAGCTACCCTGGAGGCTTGCCCCAGAAAGCAGACCCCCCGATCTTGTTGCAAACCTGCAGTGGTAAGAAAAACTTCTCTACACCAAGTTAGATCAGTAGAGACGTCCTTTATTAACGATGCGCACCGGGGACATGGGATCCTTCCTAAAGATGTCCGCCTGCACATTGCAATCAACAGATATTTATATATTAAATTCATATATATTTAGCTCATACAATACCTATTCAATTTCATCCTCTCGATGATTGGTTC